CATTCTGAATAAAGTCCAGACTTTCATCAACAGATGTATGAGGAGTAATCCTAAGAATTAAGTGGCAGGATAGAATAAGACTGAGCATAAAAATGTTCACCCCTCTTATTTCATGATAACGGCGGGTGGATGAAGAACTGTGGAAAAGGACAGGACAAAAGGATATAGAAGTAGAAATAGGACTAAGAAAGTGGCGATGGATGGGACACACCTTAAGAAAGCCCAGCGGAAACATCACAAGACAGTCACTGCAGTGGAACCCACAAGGAGCACGAGGCAGGGGTAGGCCACGGGAAACATGGAGGAGATGCGTGGAAAGGGACATGAGAGAAATGAAGCTCACTTGGAACGAACTTGGAAGGATGGCTCAGGACAGAGATAAATGGAAGGAGCTTGTATGTGGCCTATACCCTGCCAGGGGTGAAAGGCATTGATGATGATGATGACATATTCCCTATTCACACTCCACTGCATGCTCTACAAATAAATGCTATAAATCGACACCAGAAGCTGCAGGCTTCACACACACACACACACACATATATAGGTCATACCTTGACTCGCTGCGTTCCCCATGGTGAGTTATCAGCAGGATGTTCAATCACACGCTGTATAAGATCAAAAAGGAATAAACATTTTAATGAACAAAAGGACAAACCTGTCCACAAAAAAAAGTAAATACAGGAGTCTCCACTTAAACGCACGGGACTCGGGAAGGCCCCTAAGTGTGTGTTTATACGGAGCGTGCGTTTACATGAACCTGTGCAAGGGGGGGAAGGGACGCAGTCATCTTCATTCCTTGATATTCCAGTTACCTCCCTTGGGGGCTTGCACGTCTAAATTATATCATGAAAAACCCGTCATGTGACGAAAAATTGCATTTGAGCGGTGCGTGCTTTTGTATGGTGTGCGTTTATGCGGATACTACTGTAAACGGACCAACGATTTTGAAAGATATCTGTCTTTGAAAAAAATGAAGCAAGGAAGAGCATGAAGATCCAGAAATTGTTCCAGTTAAATTACTAAAATAACAACAAAAAGCAGCTCTGAAACGCTATCTATGACAGTGGTGAGGTTTAAAAAGATATGGTTTCATTAAGTCGGGTCTTATAGCTTTGCCAAAATAACCAGGTGCCACAAAATGCTATTTGAATTGAACAACAAGCCTTAGGAGCCATTTTATAAACATTTGCTTCAAGTACTAATGGAAAGAATTAGAAAAACTTTAAGACCAATTAGAAAATCAACTGAACAAAAAGAGAAACTTGTGGATAAAAACTGTTGCCTCCAATTTTTCCCAGAATATGGGGAAGCCAATAACCCCTCTTTCAAATTCGGGAAAAAACCAAAAAAACAAACAACCAACAATCATAATACAAAAAAACAGAAAGCAAAACAAAACAGAAACATATAATTAAAATAATAATAATAACCAATGACACTCACTAACTTTTTCACCGTTGACGTCAACAATCGACAGCCGACGCCACAATCTAGATCTAACCAAGCAGCAAGGAGGTTCTGTTGGAAGGTCCTTGCCAAGCACGTAAAAGTTTGCAAGGGAAATAACCATGTCGTATGCAATCATTTTGTCATTGTTACCTCCCTTTATCTGCCTCCGACTCTGATTGTGTTGGAGTTGGAGAAGAATTTTATACGTTTGGGCCTACATTATAAAACGATAATACTAAATACAAAATGTACAAAATCTCCATTGATCTTTCTATTTGACAGTCTGAAAGAGCATTGCTTTTTTAGCCCAACTTAAAAACTTCAGTGAAAATGACTTATTTTGGTATGACATGCGAAAGAAACTTAGACACATTCCCTGTTTTGTTTGTTTTGTAAGGTTTTACGACCCTCGCAATTGCATAAGGTCATATGAGTGCCAAGGAGTGGATGTCAACAGAGAAATTCAAACAGGGAATCAGACTTACTCTGCTCACCTCTCCAGCCTCAACAGCACAAAGTCTGCTTTGACCATCAAGGAACCCCGGAAATAGCGGGTCACAAGAGAGTCACAAACAAACAAAAGAAGTAGAGGAAAATGACAATAGTAAGGATGAGGAAAGAAAAGCAGCAGTTCCCTGTTTGCTGTCATTACGACAGAGCCTATCGTATGGGCCTTTCTATGAGCGAAACAGGCCTGATAAAATTGGGATAACACTTTAAAAAAATTTTTTATTTTGTTTGATTTTATTCTTCCGATAAAAAACCTTGAGATATCTGTGGAAAACTTTAAAAAGAATGTGTGTGATAGTGCAACAATTTGCTAGAATTATTTGTTCTCATATTAGGTATTACTGCACAGATATTACAAAGTATTCTTTTTTAACTACTGCTTCGTAATTTTAGAAAATCCGGAAGTGATATTTCGCGAGTCGCATTTTGTTTTGAGAGTATAGATCTAGACCTAATTTTTTTTGTATCTCTCAATATTTATTTCCCCATTCCAGTAGAGTGTAAATATAGTAGGCCAATGACTTTTAGCTTATATTAAAGCACCGATCATCCCTTTCATCGAAATATTTCAAGACCCAGCATAAAATTGTAGATGCTTCGTAGATCTAGATCAAGAATCTGGTACTTAGATAGGATCTGCCAGTGGAAAATATATTAATGTCTAATTCTCACCCGACGTTTAGAGGTCGGCCTTCAGCCTGTATTATATCTTTTTAAACTATGTCTAGATATATAAATATTAAATTACTAGACTTTTAGTAGAGCTCTCGCTCAATAATGTCTATGTCTAGATATATAAATATTAAATTACTAGACTTTAAGTAGTGCTCTCGCTCAATAATGTCGCAGGCCTACCTATAAATGTTGCCATAGGCCATAGGAAAGATGAGATTAAGTGACCCGATCCGGGTGGGAATAAAACAAAAAATATTCCCACCCCGGGTGGGAATAGGCCTACTCACTTCAATTAAAAAACAAAATTTATCTAAATCTAGATCTAGATATCCATATTACCTATGTTAGGAGTTAACACTGAAATATATTAATTATAACCATTTCTTACAATAAATTATTGAATCGAGCAATACATTTCTTAATTATTAAGTCCCATGAAGACGTCAGTGGAACAGTTCATGTTTCTTTTTTTGTGCCATGTAAATGTAATTTAAACTATGCACAAAAATACAGTCTAGATTTTAGGGGCTCTTTGGACATTGCCTTCCCGTTTGCTTACGTAAAAAAGAGAAGTGATTGTTATGGACAACAGTGGCCATGTAGGCAAACGGAACTCTACCACATTAGCCAGTAACATTTTTCTGCCTTTTTCGTATTAAACATTTTTTGGGGACGGATTGAACTTTGGTGGACCCATCGTGTAAACATGTGTATTTATGCGCTCTAGCCATAACAGTGGGGGCCCCAGTTTGAGGGGTGGGGGGCTGTTTAATAAAACGAAGTGTATACAGACCCGGTAACCGGGAACAAAGTCACGAAGTATACAGACCCGGTAGGGGAACTCTTTTGTGATGTCGGAAAGTTTCAGCGCCCAGACCAGGTAGTGTGTGTGCGTGTGAGTGTGTGTATGTGTGTGTGTGTGTGTGTGTGTGTGTGAGAGAGAGAGAGAGAGAGAGAGAGAGAGAGAGAGAGAGAGAGAGAGAGAGAGAGAGAGAGGGGGGGGGGGGTGACTGCTCGATTGAAATTATGACAGTTCTTTTCTTCAAATTGTGATTCCCCCAACTCCAAAAAAAACGGAGGAAAAACGATTGTTCATCGAAAAGACATCCGCAATCTTCATTTAGATCTAGAATCTAGATCTAGATCTAGGCTAACCTCGCAACTAGATCAATGATTCTGTCTGTCTAGATCTTGACCTATAGAGCTAGAAGAACCTAGGTCTAGGCCTACCCTAAGCCCCTGAGCCAAGAGGGCGCTGAAACTTTCCGAAATCACAAAAGAGTTCCCCTACCGGGTCTGTATTATATACTTTGTGACATTGTTCCCGGTTACCAGGTCTGTATACACTCCCTTAATAAAAATACGGCCAGTTCTATAATAATAATTTTTAAACAGACGTACAAGGAAAGACCGACGGTGGTCCAAAAGGGGGCTCCAGTGGCTAAGTGAGTAGTGAGTTGAGACTCCCAAGTACTGTCAATCAAGTCAATGTCGGTGACACGTGGTTTAGGTGGGTGGTCACTGGGGTGTGTCCTTGAGCAAGACACGACAACCCTAGCTCAAGAAACAGTGGGTGGTCACTGGGGTGTGTCCTTGAGCAAGACACGACAACCCTAGCTCAAGAAACAGAGCGGTGGTGGGGTGGTCACTGGGGTGTGTCCTTGAGCAAGACACGACAACCCTAGCTCAAGAAACAGTGGGTGGTCACTGGGGTGTGTCCTTGAGCAAGACACGACAACCCTAGCTCAAGAAATAGAGCGGTGGTGGGTGGTCACTGGGGTGTGTCCTTGAGCAAGACACGACAACTCTAGCTCAAGAAACAGTGGGTGGTCACTGGGGTGTGTCCTTGAGCAAGACACGACAACCCTAGCTCAAGAAACAGAGCGGTGCTGCACAGTATGGCGACCAGCAATGACTTGTTTATGAAACTGTTCTGTATTGGTGTAATGTTGTGTAATTTATGGCAATGATGTTTTCGGGTATGAATTTATGTATGCATTTATGTATCCATTTATGTACGTTTGTGTTTATAATTATGTGTTTGTGAATGTATGTATTTTTGTATGAATTTATGTATGCATTTATGTATGCATTTATGTACGTTTGTGTTTATAATTATGTGTTTGTGAATGTATGTATTTTTGTATGAATTTATGTATGCATTTATGTATGCATTTATGTACTTTTGTGTTTATAATTATGTGTTTATGAATGTATGTATTTTTGTATGAATTTATGTATCCATTTATATAACATGTTTGTATTTATAATTGTCGTGTATTCAGAAATGTACGTATTTATATTTAAATTTATGTATTTGTCAAGCGACACCTAGGAATCAGGTGCTCGTCAATTTTTAGGCATATGGAGTTATTGGTATCAAGGGAAGGAGTTACCTCCCTGGCCTAGTGTTTCGATTCGAGAGAACGGGGAGCCGGGGAACAGTCACTGTACTTTTTAAATACAGAAAAAAAAAAACCGTTCAGGGAACAGCGACTCTCTGCTGACCGAATACTTCGTCATGATGGTATCGATTAAGGTATCGATACACCTGCGGCCTGGCCCGCCAAAAAAACTAATTTACAAACCCTGAAAACTACGTTCAATCGTAAAAGTAATATCAAATTCGGAATCAGCTTCTCAAAAGTAATGAAACATCTCGCGTGTGACAAGTATTTTTTGTTACAAAGATTTCATCATGTAGCATCTTGTTATCACAAAGAGGACAGACATCATACACATACATCACACAATCACACACACACTCGCACACACACACACACTCTCACTCACACACACACGCACACACACATACACACTCGCACACACACACACTCTCACTCACACACACACATACTCTCTCTCCCACACACACACACACACACGCACGCACACACACGCACACACAATCATACTCACACACACACACTCACACACACACACACACACACACACACACTCTCACACACAC